GCACCGAGACAATTGAGTGGTCACATTAAAAGCCTTATAGCGGTCTGGGGTGGGTGTCTTGGGTTATTACTGGTCACCCTCTATGTGCAACACACCAAAGGCTCGCATACGACTAAGCGCCTCAAATAGTCTCTGTTCAGCAAGCCCTATTCAGTCTTGATATGGTGCAGGTGTTTGCACACAAAAAGAGAGCAAGAGAAGCCAACATTGGAATCAGGGAAACACCGGTAATTCATTTACGGGAGTTTCTATAAAAATCTTTGATTATAAACCTACGACCATTAATAAATGTTACCATTGTCGTTCAATGTAATTTTCTAATTGACTGTGAACATGTTACTGCTGATTTATTGCATATGTAAGGTTTATCAAACTAAAATGGAAATTTATCACCGACACTGGGAAGACGAATCTAGCCAGCTTACCTGGGTTGCATAGGATGGAAATGTGCATGGACTAAGAACCGAGGCCGGACCGGATACTGGTGTGTTGTTTGGACCGGGGAATAGGGCCGACGAAGAGGTGGTGGTGGTAGTGGAGTTTGAGGTGACTGAATTCGTCGTTGTGGCAGTGGTCGTGGTCACAGTGGTGGAGATTGGTCGATTGTTCATCATCAAATTCCAGGACGCGTCCCACGGTTCCCGAAACACAGAGCATGGGGATGTGTTTGACATGGATCCGGGTTGACTGCCAGTATGGTTAGTGTTGTTGCTGTTATGACGTGAGGCGGCCGACGCTGCGGCGGCTGCTGCTGCTGCAGCAGCAGCTGCGGCTGCCGCAGCCGCCGCCGCCGTATAGGGAGAGGTGGGCACCGGAAAGGAAGTTGCTCGACCGAATGGAAGAGGGAGGACTGTGGTGAATAGAGTGAATAAAAGTTAACGTGAGTGAGACTAGTGAATGAAATTGAATAGTATCTAAGAAGGGAAGGAAGTGATAACGTTGCTGATTGACCATATGATCTTCCGAGTAAAGGGTGATGTTACTTTCGTAAGCTAGTGTTTTATCAGTAACGTTTCTTCTAGCCATAGTCAGCTTCAGTTGTCGACCGACCCCACAATGTTATATGCACCGGAATGAAGATTATTCCTGGTTCCCTGAAACCATCTCTTTTTAAAATGGAACAGATTCGGAACAATAAACAATGATGTTATTTTTCTGTTTACCCTTTTAATGATTGCTCAATTGTACAACCAATTTTTCAGGCGGGGAATAGGAGTCTAATCAACGGGCATTTTTCATTACACATCCTTGTACAGCAGACAGGGTAAACCCAATAGTCGTGAAGACCTGCTGTCCAGTGATGGAAATTGCTAACCTAAAACCTGGGACTGGGAGTGGCGAACCAAATAACGCTACACTAGATTAGGCGCGTAATACAAAGAGAAAGTCGGGTGCCGGCGAGGGGGTTGGACCATTCGATTATTGAGGCGACCGGTTAGCCATCTTAGTCGCTTGACCACGGCCGAACGACTCAACTGTGAACTGCATGAAATTGCACCGGGATCAATAAATCTCTTACAGCTATTGAACGATGTCCCCACGTTATTTCTTTATTTTTTTGCTTTGATGCAAATCACTCTGTATTGATTCACAAAGCCCACAGTGCTGTTATGGTCGATCATCTCTGATCTACACTTGTTCGAGTGTGAAGTGATATCATGCATTTGATTATCAAACTCAATTTGGCATCAACTGATGATCCGCAGAGGTTGCGAATGTGATACAATGGGAATTCCAAGAAATGGTTGGCAATAGTGGATGTCTCGCTGATCCAGACTGCGACTCGACAGAACAAATCACTAGGGGAAGTTGAAAGGTATGACAAAAACGAATGTAGTTGTGGGTGCATCAGTCAAGCTGTGCATGTGTGTATCTGTGTGCATACAGTCACCCTATTGTGCCTTCTATTGGTCATAATGGATTATGGTGTTATTGTCCCACCATTGGGTCTCGCATCATCTTCATCCATTTTGCATAACCAGACTTACTTCTGTAAATGGAGAGAGAACTTGATAGGGATCAATGAAGTCAATTACGCAACAATTCTAAGTAGAGTGGATGACTTCGCATACCATCCGAAAAGCATTGCAACATTCTGCACTCTGTGCGCGACTTAAATGCGTTTGATTCCCTCGAACTAGTTCTACGTGCATCACCGATGAGTGAAGACCTAGACCAGCAGCAGACCAAATTAGATGACCGTTGCAGATTCGGCAGGATGCGGAATAACTAACAAGATATACTATCTGATTTCCTTATTCTAACAAACACAGCCAAGTGTTTGGAAAGAACGGACCCAGAGGAACAAGATTACCACCCGAATTGATCTATCAAAATGTTCGGCTTACCGTAGATGTTCTCTTAGTTTCCAATATGACTACAGATCTGTAAGCAGGACCGACGTTTAAATAATCGAATATTCACGCAGACTGTGACCATGTCAGTGTACTTTTATGAGTGAACATAGTGTCTTCCTAGTTATGACTTCCGGTTCAAATTAGGCAGACTTGCAAACATGCACTAAAAAGGGACGCGTGGACACCACTTCTGTGTAGTGTGTCACAAAAATAGACAGTGACAACGCTGACACTGAACTGTAGGAATAGCAAAACCATCTGAGAAATCGGAATAGGTCGAGATTGACTAGAAATCAAACGGGATAATAGGCTCGATATTCACAATAACTTATCCGTACGAGAAACAACATCCGACACTTGAGTACCCATTGGAATCAAGGGCCATCGATCATATTTAATTATAATTGGGAAACAAATAGGAACTATGGCATGAGTGAAATGGGATGGAGGAATATTGTCTATCTGTGCTTAACGTAAACCCAAAGGGATGAAATAGTGTTTCAATCTCATAGTTTCATGTTGAGTGACATGCAAGATCTATGTTCCATGTACATAGGCGCTTCTACCGTTGCTGTTTTGGGACAAGTTTCTTTATAAACCATAGTACAGCTAGTGAACGAGAATCTCGAACATTCATTGGAATTGTTGCTTGTTGAAATCTCCGGTCATTACCGACTCTATCCTAACTGTCTTGAGTTGACCATGATGTCCTTACAATCAAAGAATGCAGTGTGAGTGATTGTGCTGTCATTGGGCAACTAATCCTCCAGCCAATAACGTCCCTTGTTCAGTTCACTGAGCACATGCGAAGCAGATAAAAGTGAATCAACAGAGACAAAGACACACACGGTCAACTCTGCATCTTCTATACAAAGGAAATTCAAGGAAACAGGGGCCAACAACGATGCGGACCTCAGAAATGCAAATAACATTTGTTGTGTACTCCATGGCGGTGTTCCGGGGGGGGGGCAGAAGATCAACTTATTTTATACACGACTGAGCAGAGAGTAAGGTGAGGACATTTATATATTACATACCGTCGTATGACGCACAGGAGAAGAAATAAACTTCACAGCCGGGACAATTGTTGTTCACTCAGGGAAACCGGCAGCCTAGGCCCTGGGACTTCGAGTGGTGGACTGCGTAAGACCCTATCAGATAGTGTGTTGTTGAGCCGAAAGACGGTGAAGCTGTTTGGCACACAAGTTGGCTGACTTTGTTTGTGCAGAATATTGTGGCGGAAACCATTCAGCGTTATTCGGAGAGCATGGAGCCACAGGCATAGGTAGGAAAACCAGATATTTTTATCAGATCGTAAATACCTTTTTTGATTTTTCTTACCTTTATTGACTACACAACGATACAACTTTCGGGAAGGGTGGGGAGCGGCCAATCAAAAGGCTGTTATACAACACACTTAATGAGGAAATTCAGATGCTGCTGGTGGAATTCGAACACACGTTCCTCGGGGTGATAATTTGGTGACCTTACCACCGGACTAGCTAAGTCCTCGTGGAGTTCACGAAAAGACTAGTTTAACAAACTCACTTTGAAATCGGTTCTTTTCGTAGTTCAATGATTCGTGATCAAAACGTTTAGCTAAAAACACTTTCACACTTAATACCGGTCGATACAAAGAGCCCTTGAAAGTGAATATAGGTAGAGACAAACTCAGGAGGAGGCTAATTAAAGAACTATGTACACGGTACTCATCATGATCCTCGACGGTTTTAATGATAATGTCTGTACATACGTGGTTATCGTTCTATCGAGTTCATTCGAAAAGCTGCGTCCGATAGAAACTACGTCAATGAAAACAGTAAAAACGTTTTTAATTACAGAGAGAAGAGACCACAATAGACGATAATTTTGTAGCCGTAATTCCACGTTCCCTAGGTTGCAATGCGTTCTGTTCATACGTTTCTAGTATACCACAGTAGCAGGCGATGCACAGTGAATCCACATTTTCTTTACAGAGCCGAGAGTACATGAAGACAGAGGTCAGGGCTGACTCCATTACTTCACGTTCATGCGGCACAATGATCTGGTTCAACGGATGTCACGGTTTGCGGCTGCCCACCAATGACGTTTGGAGGTGAGGTTTGAGCGTGCGATCACTTCGTTTTGGTGGTAGCAGCGTACAAAGAGTTCAATGTGTATTTTCAGGTGGCCCTCCGTTCGTTGGCATCAAGCTCAAAATGACATTGGGGAAACGCACGTGTTGAGGAGTTCGGTGGGTCTACGTTGCAAGATATGATATTGGCATTGTATAAAGACAAAGTATGGATTGAGAAGTAGTGCTTTCACACCCCTTCGGTCTGATCAATGGAGAAACACGACGCGTGTTGCATCTTTGAACGCTGCAGCATGGATTAGATTAGAACTGATTAATGAAGTTTGCATAAAAGTGGCATACGGCTTCAGATCAAGGCAGCACTTCTAGCCTTGGAACACCAAGTGAGTAACAGCTACCGGTGGATAATGTCCAGACAGGCTACACAGAAGTGCAAAACTTTATACGGGACCACACATGACGCGACGAACGATTCAATCACTGGGTCGACTAAACTAAAACGGTCGCAGTATTTTGACCTGAAAAAATATGCTCCCCCAATTCCGGTGAGTGACGTTTTAAATGTGAATTGTTCCGGGTAACACCCATATCCTAGCACACGGTTAGCTATGCGGAATCCAGTTGCATTAATGGATATGAGATTTACGGGATGATGTACTATGAGAACGGGTCAAAGTAGAGAGGCAGATTGTGTAGCACGTCCACGCATATGTATATGTCGTGGTAGTACTAATGCACTTAGGGTGAACCGCAGTCAGACTGGTCCCAAAAATTGTGCGGTAGATATCAGTGTTGTTTTCCCATTTGAAAAAAAACAGTGAATGTACATATGCAGTCAAAATACGACAGAGAGAAGCGAACAATGAAAGTATGCGAGAAACCAATCCGAACATATCCCGGATCAAGGTGTTCAGAGTTATGTGGATTCTTGAACTTTCCAATAACGAGCAGTTCGTATTTTGCACTGCTAGCGGGTAAAACGATGACTTTTTCGCTGCATGTGCTGGTGACGTACTGGTTTAATCGCTGTCACTGGCGTGCTTCGGATCCCATGGTCAGTGGTTCAAGCCCCACCCAAATTTGTTGGTAGGCCGCTGTGTTGTCGTCCGGTCCAATACCACGCCTAACTCAGTGGGGCCTTATGTGGTTCGCCACTCCAAGTCGAGAGGCTTAGGTTGCCAGTTACCATCACTGAACAGCAGGTCTTCGGGTTTACCCTGTCTGTTGTTCATCACGCTAAGGTGTAATAATAGGAAATGTTTGAAAACACTGTTTTACAAGCTACCTCCATTCATTTCGCTTGTCGCTACCGGCAGATGGGATGGATGAACGCTCTTGATGTCAGTGAAGTAAACGCAGAATCGTTCGCCAATTCGAAGTTTCTTGCCCCCAGGTACGTTTGACGCTAGTGTATTTTTCAGCAACTGGGATGGAATTCTTGTCACGAAAAACTTCCTTCTTGTGCACATTAACAAGCCCGACACTTTTTATCAGGAATTTATTTCTGAAGGACAGTTTTAACATGACTTATGGGGGCTTGCACGCTGAACTGTCTTTTCCCGTTTATGTGAACTGAATTTGTTTAGAGACGCATTGTACCAACCAACAACGGGAACCAAAACGACCAGCGGGGTTGTCCTCGCAACTCAACACTCTAATACCGATTAGTGATTTAACGGCAACGCCATAAGGTCAAACCTTCGAACTCATGCTACTGTAACCCAACTTTCACGGTGGACAGCTCGGCCGTGGTCCAGTTCTCCTACTTCGATCTGACTTATCTCACTCCTTCACTTGGCGGGGAACGGGTTGCTCTTTACCATGGTCGAACAGTACACTCTGTTGCCTGTGGAGTTCATCCATCCCAATCAGCATCACACTGAGATGTGTGATAAAAGGCTGCCAGGCGATGGTGCCCCGATGGTAACCTCATCAAATTATCACCCCGGAGAACAAGTGTTTGAACCCCACCACCACCGCCTGACTTTCCCCTTTTTGTGTTGTATGGTAGCCCTTTGATTGGTCGCTTCCGTCTTCCTGAAAATTGTATCATTGTGTATTCAATGAAAGGAAGTAAAATGAAAAAGAAAAGGAATGAATATATGAGAATTAAGTCCCAGGGTGTTCAAATAGATGGTTTTCTATTGTATGTCTAGATTAAGATCAAACCATAAACAACAGGGATATTTGATTGCTTGTTACTGAATGAACAACAGTGTAAGGGATTTGGGATTACACAAACGGCAACCAAGAAAAACACGGACACAACCTACAGTGCGAGGGGACTGTTAGCCGTAGAATTTCACCACTGTTTTTCTATTTAACTTTGTCATAGGTTTGATCCTGGAAACAGCCTTGTTCTTGTCCGAGGATAGTGTTATCAATTTACTTCCATGTGACAGACTGTCTGATCTAGACATTGTACTGCTAAGTGAAGAACCGGATAAGTTGCCAGATTTTTGGATAGTTTTTGTGCAACTGTAGCCATGTCCGACGTGCGTTCTGCATTTTCAAAGTGGAGAATGTTGCTACAGGACTAACTTGGTCCAGTTTCCAACCTCATTCTAATTGGAGAAGTAATGGAGACAGTGCACAAATTTTGCTACTTGGTCAGCTGTATCGCACAATAGATGAAGTGTCGGCAAACATACAGAAGGCTCGGT